ATGTATAGTAGGTGCTTTAGTATAGGTCGGTAAGTCGCCTTTTCTATACTATAACTAGCGACCGTGGATTCCTTATATACTTTACGCCTAGGCCTAGTAAAGGGGAGGCGTCTTCGCCTAGCGCGCTAGCGGGTTCGCTAGAAAACCCGCGTAGTCTATATAGTCGCGGTCCTTATAGGTTATACTAGATAGTAGTAGGCGAACCTTATCTAAAAGTATTAGTTACTACTATTTAATATATCCTATCCGGGTATAACTCTAGCTAGCTAGTATTATAGGACTTAGACGGATCTAGGATTTAATATACCCTATCCGGGTATAACTCTAGCTAGCTAGTACTATCAGACCTAGGGAACCCAGGATTTAAAGGGTGACCTTTACTATAGTAAAAGAGGTGTAATAAAGATAATCTATCTAACCTAAGGGGGCGCGCCCCCTGGACTTAAGTATCCACGGGTAAACCCCGTAGAATCCTCGGTTTCTATGTATAGGAACCCGGGGGATTCCCCGGCATTCACTAATCGTACCCTAAGGAGGCTATAGTATACCCTAAAGGTACCTATAGTATACCCCGTGGGTGCCACGGCTTATACTATAGTACCGCTAGGGTACCCCGTGGTACGCCCTGGTATTCCCGGTGGAATCTGGGGTGTATTAATAACACGAACTACGCTATACTCGTAATAGCGGTTATTCTTAGTAGTATTATTATTATTAGGAGATAATATCTACGATTATTAGCACGCTACTACTAAGGCACCGCTACGCCACGAAAAGAACTTATATTATACTACCACTATTAATGACTTATTTATATATATAAATCAATACTATACTACCTAGTTAATCCCACGCCACTACGCTACCACAACGCTACCCACGAGACACTTATAGTAAAACTATAATAGGAATACGATAAGAAAACTAAAAGGGTTTACTAGTTAGTATAAGTCGGAACGATAAGCCGATAGGACTATAAGCGGGAATAGATCGGGAGGAAAACCTAAAATAAACTCGCTAGTGTTATAGGAGGAAAAGGGATATTTAAGGTATAAAGGCCTCGGGGGATATTAACTATCTAATTCTTATAATAGAGTAGGGCCCTATCCCCTTACCTACCTACCTAGGGGAGGTAGGAGGCGCCTACCTCCCCTACTCTTTTTATTAACCGAATAGAAGGAATAAAAGGCATAATCCTTAACGGACGTAGGGAGACCGAGGATAAAAAGCCGTAGCCGCCGTATAGCGGAAACGCGGTAACGCCCCCTCGGCCCCCGCTCCACCGATAAAGATTAGCTTAGGCTAACTTACCTAACTACTAGCCTACCACACTTCCCGTTAGCTACTAGCCTAAAGGTAAGATCCAGATATATAATAGGGATAAACCGGGGCTATAGCGGCCTTATAGCGGCATCTCTCTACCTAAGAAAGTATATAGAGGTTTTCCCCGGGTTTTCCCCGGGTTTTCCCCTCTATAGCTACCCGAGAAAGACCGCATAGCCTAGGAAGGCTCCTATAGATTAGTTAGGATAGCGGAGTAAGATTAATAATAATATTAATAGTAATATCTAAAAACAGCGTAGAAACTACTAAAATTTAGTATACTTTACGCTATTTCTTAATATAGTGAAGGAGGAGAAGGGCCGTATCGATAGCGGAGCGTTATTTCCTACCCCTTATTTAACTAGGGTATAAAAGTTCGTCGCGGGTATTAGATAGAAAGCTAAGCCTAGTTGCTATAACCCGTTCGAGTACTTTACCTAAATAGTTTAGAAGGGCTATAATCCTATAAGACTTAGGGTCTAAATAGTCCTTCTTCCCTGGCTTCGGCAGAATAACCTCGAGGGCTTCTTTCTAGCAGACAGGGTAATATCCTACGGAAAAGAGTGCTAAGTAGGCCTATAAAAAGAACCCGGAAATAGCCTTATAGGCCTCTTGGATCGGTTTTAGGCCTATTCTATTAGGTCCAGGGGCCTTGCCTTTAGCAGCTCTGAAGGTCGCGCGTTATAGCTCTATAACCTATAGGCTAGGCCACTCCCACGGTCCTCTAAGGCCCTTACTACGTAATCTAGTTAGGCTCTAGGGACCGCTAAAGGGGTAGGAGGGGTCTAAGTCCCCCGCAGGGCCTATAAATACAGGGGCTTCGGGGATATCGGTAGCGGAGGGTGCTAGAAAAACGGTCTAAAGTAGGGGGTTATTTTTATCTTCGAAGGCGTAGGCCTTTTGCTTTATAGGGGTTTCGAGCTTCTTTCTAGGAGGCTTCTAAAAACGCTAGTCGGGTAGCCAAGGCCCCCTTTCTAGCCGTCTTTCGAAATACCCTAAAAGCCCTGCCAGATATTTTTCGTAGGGCTTTTAGCTCCTTCGTCCACCACAGGTTTAAACACTCTACTATCTTTAACTCAGGCACTAAAGCCCTAAGCGCGAGGGTAATCGTATCCGAAAGATAGTAGCCTATACAGTTAGTTTAAGAGTCGATAGCCTATCGAAGCTGCTAATTAAGGCTAGGTTCTAGGCTCTTTAGGGTACTAGAACATAGGTCCTAATCTGCTAGCTTATAGTCATAAGCCGGCGGAAGCGATTTATTTATAGGACCTTCGGAGCCTAAAACGGAAGCTAAAAGTAGAATAGCGCGGTATAGGGAGGTAATATTATCGATATATTCCCACTTATCGAAGCGAAGACGATCAAAGCCGGGCGTGTAAAAGGCGAGGTCTATAACCGACTCTTAACGAAGATTAGACCTAAAAAAAGTCCGGCCGTTCAGGTTAACCTCTTCAGAATCTACTAAACAGGTAGCTCCGCGGCTATCTAACTAGTCTACTAGGGCCTAGGTCCTAATAAAAGCCTGGTTAGTAGCAGCCCCGTTCCACTGCCAGTAGTTCCTGTTAAAGTCCACTAAAATAAGGGTAGACTTAGGGACCTATAGGCCTTATAGCACTCGATCGCCGGACCAGAGCCGGATTCTAGGGCCTGAAAAAGAGGGAAAAGAAGAAGAAGAAGTAAAACTGGAAGAGGTAGAAAGGGTAGGGCTAGGGGGCACCCTCGGCCTATTGTTTCGGGGTCCTATTCTAGGTAATTATAAACGTGTAGAATATAAAAGGTCTATAGATAATAAAGCTCTATACTCTACGCGTCTATATCTTCTAGAAGGTCGTCGGGGTATAAAAAGTCGATCCTAGAGCCCTTTCCTATATAAGTAAGGACCCTAGGCTTAATAAGGAAAACTTAGGGTTTTTAGGATATAGGTGTAACGGTATAGAAAGCAGGGTGGTTCCGAATAAACTACCCTTCTAGTTTCGAGACGTAGGCAGGTTCCTGGATAAGGACTATATCAGTCGAAGCTTCTAAAGCCTATTCTAGGATAGCTTCCTATACCAGGGCCTGTTTATCGACGTTATATTAAATAAACCGGATATCTTTAGAACTAAAAGGCCCTTTATTTATAGAATTTAGGGTTTTATAGCTTAAAGATCTCGTAGTCTTTACTATAGATAGGGTGCTCTCCCTCGTAGTTATAGTACTTATAGGTCTTATATTCGCAGTCTCCGTATTCTTTATACTCGTTATAGTAGTGGTATTCTTCCCTGTGTCCTTTGATAGCGTAGATAGGGTTGGTAACTAGGCCCTTATAAGTCCCTCGGGTATACCCGAATTTCTAGTAGTTAGAGTACTAGGTCCTGGACATTATAGGTTTATATTTATAGACCTTTAGCCGCTAGCCGGCTATATAGAGCCCCTGTTTCAGGTAGTACTTCTGTTCTTTAGTGGTGGGCACGGAAATAACCACCGTGCCGTAAAATGCGTTCGGAGCCCATAGCCACCAAGGCTTTCCTACTACCCTAACACGGTTAAAGGTGTCGAATTTAGTGACTAGGTCCAATAGATCTAGGCTCTATTATAGGCTTCGGTTAAGGGCCTCTTATAGTGGTTCGGAGGGGTTGGAGGGGTCGGGTATCAGGGTATCGCCACCCCTAAACTGTCTGCTAGGCACTTATTTAATAATAAGCTTATACTAGTCGCCTATAGGCCAGGGGGGCTAGAGGGGCAGGTTTAGCTTTTTAAACCACTGGTTCTACGAGTCTAGGAGCTATTAAACGCTGTATTTCGGCCCCGGGGTTAGAATAAGGTTTCTATTAGTTAATAGGCTAACAGCCGTAACTACAGGGGTTTTTAAGGCCTTATTAAGCCTGTTTCGGAGCTCGAGGGGGTTAAAATCTTCCCTAGGAAGCCGGGCCCCTACTATAGGTTAAAGAATAACCTTAGGAACCTTTTTAGGGTTGGTTAGTAGGGGTGCCGGGGGGGTAGGAGCTAAAGATGCTAAGGCCCCTAAAATAGGGGCCTGGGTAGGGGCTTAGGTAGGGCCTTTTTTCCCCTTTAAAGCCTCGCTATAAAGGAGTTTAGGCTATTCTATAAGCCTACGAACTACGTAGGCTAGCTCGTTAATTTTCAATTCGAGTATAGGGGGCTAGGAGGCTTCTAGTACTCCGTTAATAGCAGATTTAAGCCCTACTAATAGGGCCTTGATCTAGGGGGCAGGGTGGAGGGTAATAGGCCTATTAAAGTAGCTAAAGAGCCTATTTAAGTAGTTCCTTAGCCTATACTTTACTAGCCGAACTAGTCCACATCTAGCGCGTAACTAAGGGTTTTCCCGAGGCTCTAGCCATTCCGGGTGCTTTTTTAGCCTATCTAGTTCCTAAAAGGCTCGGGTCTTTAGCGCGGGCGGCTCTAGAAAGCGTTTCGAAAACGCCTTCGGCCTCCGAGTCCGAGGGGAATTCGATCCGGGGCCTAGAAAAACGTCTAGGAGTTAGTGTAAAAGGGCTAAGGTGCCTTTTCCAATTATAGGACGTAGCGAGGGGTAAATCCTCTATACTTTTAGTGGTATTACCTATAGCTACCTCCCCTAGGCCCTTTATAGTTATAGGGGCCTTGGGGCCGGTTTAGGGGCATTAGAGACCTTAGAGGCGTTTTTATAGCTAGCGTTATGGCTAGTAGGTTATTATTTATAGTGTTGGGGTTGCGTGGAGATTGTGGGTGCGGCTCTGTGCGGGTAGGCTTGCTGCTTTATCAGCGTGGGCGCACGGGCCATGTTAGACTTTTCCCCCGCACGCGGGGCAGACGCAAGCCTATTTCTAGGCGTTTTCGCACTCATTCTACCCCTAGACTAGCTCCTACACGATACAGGGCCATAGATAGGCGTATAGAACTTAAAAAGAGCTTCGATTAATATAGGTTTCGAGTGGTTTAGGGCGTTTCCGTGTAAAACGTAGGTCCCCCCACGTAAGTTATAAGAACGATAATAGTTAACCTAAAAGCGACGAAATCCGCTAGTTCCTAGCGATTAATATTCTAAGGGATAGGGCTACCCGTAGGTTATAGTTATTATAAGCCTCCTATATAGATATGATCGCGGTTAAATACTACGTAGATATCCTTTATCGAAAACTACTAAACATTCTATTATTATTATCTATAAGGCCGCTAATACCCCGTGATAGTATACGCGTATTAATTCCCGAGGTCCGCTAGTATTAGAGTATAATAGGTTTAATCCTATATACCGTTATTATAATAAGACCCGATATCGTGTTCGCCTATTCGAAGCTTTCCTAATATAACGTCAATCTCTCCTCTAATTATCTTAAGAGGGCTTAATAAGTGCTGCTATTCCTATACTATATAAAACACTACTACCTAGAATTCGTTAGGAATACACTCTTCTTAACCGTAAGCGACGCGTCCTTCGGGGATAATCTAGACCGTAAGAGTTTATAAAGATATACGATAAAGCTTTTTCGCAGTATTATTAACTAGAAGGCGGGTAAGTAACCGACGGCTATAATATTATCGATAGAATTGGAACTACTCGCCCTTATAGAGGCTATTAAGGAGACGTTATTCGTTAGTTGGATATTAAGAGATTTAGAGCTTCGGTTAGATTAATAATAACTATAGTTATACTACGATAATTAGTAGACTATTAACCTCGTTAATAAGAAGACTTAACGCCTACGAATAAGGTTACGCTATATTAATATTTATAACTAGTAAGCGCGCTAGTTAGTATAGTAAGGCCTTTTAAAGGTTATATATATTAATATAAAGGATATAATCGCGGACGGCTTAATAAAAGTGTTACCGGAGGCAGGGATTAAAAGACTATAATAATCGCTTATTTTAATAGATTAAAAGGATCTTATTAAGTAGTTAAGTTACTTATATAAAAAGATTAAACGCGCTAAAGCCGCGGCCATAACGATAATAAAGGCCCTTAAATGCATGGTAGATCCGATCGATATAGATCCGATTAAGCTAGTTAGTAATAGGGAACCGAGTATAATAGAATTAAACTAAACGGTTAAATAAGGGGGATATAGATCCTTTTTCTAAGGGTGTTTTCCCTTAATTATTATTTTTATAATAGAAAAGTTAAGAGCTTTTACCTTAAACCGAAGCCTCTAATTAGTTAGTTAAACTAGCTGGACCCACTTTAAATAAGGGGGTATATCGTATAGGTATATAGACTACGATATAGTCCTAAGGGGCTATATGCCTAACTAAGGGCTTTGGATCTCGGGGACCTTAGGTATCAGGATATAATAAGGGCGGATACCGGAAAAGACCGGATAGGATCCAAATAACATAGTACCTATAATAGAGTCTTTACCACCTAAATTAAGGGTATAAGAGACTTATATAGATATAACTTAATATAATACACAGACAGGAGATTTCTGCTCTATCAAGTTAATTATACAAGTGCTATTTTAAAGTACGACACCTTACACAGTTATAATTATATATAATTATGTTAATCAAATTAAACCTATTTTATAACGTTTTTGACTACGCTTTATCTAATAGCCTTAACCTTTCTAGATTATAAAGATGCCTTTTATAGTTATTCTCCTTTAGCTATACGATTAAGATAGTACTAGATTAACGATCTATTAGTTCGTCGTATATCTGCTACTACTACACTAGTAAGCTGGATGTATCTTATCGTCCCGTGGTTAGTATGTCCGTGATATAAACCGCGCAAAACGCGGTGTACTTCGTTAAAGTGCTTCGATCCTTTTGTCAGGCCGCTGTCTCCGTAGGTCTTCCCATACCGCCATAAGGCTACGTATAATTCCGACCATATATACACGTATAACATCAGAATCACAGGCACACTTTATCACCACAGCAGATTCCAGCACTTAACTGAGATAGATACAATTCTATACTGTTATTCAATGCCATGATGGATGGCATTCGTGATTCTTGCCTGAGGTGAAACCGGATAGAACTTATGTGGCCCTCCTGTTAACGAAAGAATATCCCAGCGCCAGAGGTGAAGAAACCTGGGCCTGGCCAACTGACATGATTCGTAAATGAGCAGCATAATGTGGACTGTATTACGGGTAAGAAGAAGACGAAAGGGGAAACCAGTGCTAGCTGGCATGGTTATGTCGTTCAGAGAGAGAAACACCGCGTGTCGAACCAAAATGGCTCCGCGTGTTTAATGATGTGGTTACCCAGCCAAGTTCAAGAAGCTATCCGTCCTGGCAGACAGCGTGGCGGGAGTAAAAGGTCTCGGGAACTTCTTTCTGCCCTCATAATGTATTGGGCAGGGGGGGAAGAAAAGGAAATAAGAAAAAAACAGAAATATAGTTTAGCCACGACTTGCCACGGGCGGTCGGCTCTGATGCTGATTTTGTATGCCGAGACTCGATGGCCTCCTCCCTGCATTGAAACCCACGACCGCCGAGTCTGATTCTCCCGGCGCATCATCCAAGTCCGTATCAGAACATTGATGCCCGTCCGCCAGTTTTTGGGATCCATAGCCGACAACGCGGAAAATGTTGGTGCGTCCTCCATTTGTGGCCATCTGTAATTGCTCGTGCAGCCGAGCAAGTTGATAGTTTCGCTTAATGGGATTTATAATCGGCTGAGGTACTGGGGGACGCGGTGCCCAATGTGCCAAGGCCGTCATTACGACGGTCGTCTCCTCGTCCGAATCGACGGGTCCTGCATTCGCCTCGTCGTCATCCTCGAGGGGGGCGTTTGCATCGAGGGCAGCCTCTGCACAGGGAACAGATGGTCAGCGAGGAACAGGGCTATACCCAAGCCAGAAGACGGTGGACGTACTCTGCTGTTTCGCTTGATTCTTCTTTTGGTACGCTGCTAACAGCATGTCATAGGGCAACGACCGTCCTGCTACGGCACGTTTGGCGCCCATACTATGGCTCTTGCATGTCAGGGACCTGGCGCAAGGCATCCCGTTCGGAAGGAGTACACCACATTGGCGCTCAACATCGACGGGCCCTAAGAGGCTATAGTTAGTTCGTGTCCTTGTCAATCGGTATGATGGACGTGTGCGTGAGATCCTCAGTACCTTTGGGTTTGGGGACTTTGGCTTTCGACTCCTCCTTTTTCTTCTTCTGCTTGGGTCCCTTATCTGCATCACCTTCTGCTTTCCGTTTCTTTCCTTTGGCAATCTCATCTGTTTTTCTTCCCGTGGCTTTCTTTGCGTTCTTACCCCCACCCGCACCTTTCTTCTCCGCATCGTCGTCGCCATCGCTGTCGTCGTCGCCTTTACCGTCAGCTTCCTCGCCCGCCCTCCTCGCCTCCTCCTCTCTCGCAGCTTCTCTAGCTCGTTCCCTTGCTTCTCTTGCTTCCTTTTTCCTTTGAGCCTTTTCTTTCTTTAATCGGAGGCATTGAGTAACGTGGGCCTTGGCTGCTGTTTTGAGAATACTCTTTCGGCAATGCTTGCATTGTTGCAAGTCTGGATTATCTTCGAGCGGTCTCCCGGTAGTAAATGCCTCTCTTGCAGTATCGTCAAAAGGATTGACAACGGGCCCGGGAGACGGTAGGTCTGTGCTGGCATTTTCCCTCTTTCGTTTCTCGTCTTCAGTGATGCATGTATAGTCAGCTTCTCGCAGCGCATGTATAGCCGGTCTCGCTTGCGACTGGGACTATACCGTCAATGGCGCTGCCATCTCTCCAAACACCAGGCTTGTTATGCTTTGGCACTGGTTTCTTAAGTTTAATCACTCCGTGTGATCTGTCTTTGGTGACTTTCTTCGAGGCCACTTTGATGGTCTCTTCGTCACCTGGGACTCCGTAAGCAAACGATTCCTAGTGTCGCCATGATTTAAGGACTCCAGCACCTTTTTCTGTATCTGTTGCCATCTTTATATTTGTTTGACTTGCCTTCGTCGTAGGATTGAGTGGACAAGTGGCGCTAAGTGTTTGACTGGAGATTCAGACGACCAGGTCACAGAAGCATCGCCTTTCGATCGTAATAAGAGGCACCCGTCACCACGGGCAGAGAAAGCTTCGACTATTGACGGAAGACACGAGGAGAGGAGTAATTGTCTATAGATCAAATTGATTCAGGCGGAAATCGTCGTCTCTAAACTCTCGGCGTCCAGACCTCAAGAGTGGGGGGTCGGTCGGCTTATCGCTATGACCTGGGCCAATGCTGCCTAGGTACCTTAAGGTATTTAGGTATTTGGACACTATTTGTCGCACGTTAAAATAGCACTTAGATGATCAACTTAGTAGAGCAGAAATCTCGTGTGTGTGTATTATGTTAAGTTATATCTGTGTGAGTCTCTTATGCCCTTAATTTAGGTGGTGAAGACTCTGTTATGGGTACTATATTATTTAGATCCTATCCGGTCTTTTCTGGTATCCGCCCCTGTTATATCCTGATACCTAAGGCCCGAAGCCCTTAGTTAGGGAGTGGATCCCCCCTAAATCCCCTATAGACTATATCGTGGTCCTGCCTATACGATATACCCCCTTAGTTAAGGTGGGTTTTTCTAGGTTAACTAACTAATTAGAGGCTTCTGTTTAAACTAAACGCTCTTAGCTTTTCTATCGTAAAATTAATAGTTAAGGGAAAAACGCCCTTGTAAAAGGGATCTAAATCCGCCCTATTTAACCGTTTAATTTAATTCTATCTTGATTAGTTCCTTAATCCTAAGTAGCCGGATTTACTTAATCGGATCTATATCTATCGGATCTACTATACCCTTGGAGGCTGTCATTATCGTTACGGCCACGGCTTTAGCTACGGCTTTAGCGCGTTTAATCTTTTCGTGTAGTTATTTCGACTACTCGATACGATCCTTTTAATCCGTTAAATTAAGCTATTACTATAATCTTTTAATCCCCGCCTCTAGTAATATCTTTATTAAACCGTCCGCGATTATCTCCTTCGTATTAACGTATATAACCTTAAAAAGACCTTATTATACTGACTAGCGCGCCTACTAGTTATATATATCGACTTGCTATAGCCTTATCCGTAGGCGTTATGCCTTCTTATTAACGAGGTTAATAGTCTGCTAATTATCGTAGTATAGCTATAGCTATTATTAATCTAGCCGAAGCTCTAAATCCCATAATATCCGATTAACGAATAACGTCTTTTTAGCGGCCTTTATAAGAGCGAGTAGTTTCGATTCTATTAATAACGTCGTGACCGTCGGTTACTTACCCGCCTTCTAGTTAACGGTGCCACCGAAAAGCTTTATCGTATATCCTTATAAACTCTTACGGTCTAGATTATCCCCGAAGGACGCGTCGCTTACAGCTAGGAAGAGTCTATCCCCACCGAATTCCAGATAATAGTGCCTTATATAGTATAAGAATAGTAGTACTTATTAAGCCCTTTTAAGGTGATTAAAGGAGGGGTTAACGTTATAGGCGAACGCAATATCGGGTCTTATTATAATAGCGGTATATAGAATAGAACCGATTATACCCTAATACTAACGGACCTCGGGAATTAACGCGCGTATACCGTTATATAGTATTAACGGCTTTATAGATAATAGGACCTTTAGTGGTTTTTAGCAGAGTATATCTACGTAGTATTTAACCGCGATCTTCTCCACGTAGGAGGATTATAATAGCTATAACCTACGGGTGACTCTATCCCTTAAGACCTTAATTCCTAGGAACCAGCGGATTTCTTCGTCTCCTAATAGCCTATAGCTCTGTTTAAGGACGGCCTTAAGGTCCTTAGCGTTAATCTTACGGTCTTTATAATATATAAGTCCGATATCGTCGACGTAGAAGAATAGGATGAAACCGTCGCGGATTATAATATAGGGGTTATTAAGTATAGCCGTGAATCCTATCTTCTATAGCGTGCCGCTAAGTTCCTCTTACTATAGTAGTAGCGATACCCTTAGACCGAAGAGAGCTTTCCGTAGTAGTAGGACCTTACCTAGTACCTTATAGCCTTACGGTATCTTTATAAACACCTCTTCTTTAAGGCTAGCGTTAATGAACACGTTAACGGTATCGAACTACCTTATTTTTAGATTAAATCAGGCGGCGATTACTATTAGTATACGGAATAACCGCGATACTAGCATAGCAGCGTAGTTATATTTAGTCTCTAACCATTTTTATTAGTCCCCGTATACTATAAGGCGTGCCATATACTTAAGGAGGGTGCCATCCTTATAATACTTATTTATAGGCGAGGACTTATTACTTATTAGCCTAATCACTGCTTACCTCCTACTAGTAGCCTATCTATTAATAGCCCTTAAGGTATTCCCCCTCGGCCTATAACCACCGCTCCCGTAACGGGTATATACGTATATCGCGGTAGTAGTTTAGCGGAGGCGGGAGATCCTCGTGAGTTAGACGCGATAAGGAGGCGTTAGAGGGAGAGAGATCTATAGTGCTAGCGCCGATAACGTTATTATCGTTAATAGCTTACTTCCTCCAGCGTATAGGGTTATAAGTCCTTCTAGCGTTAAAGAACGCCTTTTAGGTATTATTATTCTACACCTTCTCGGTCGTGTATAGGCTTATAATAGTTCTCGCGATAGATAGTCGCGCGGCCGATAAGCGTACGGCTAATAGGCACCCCCTAGGTGTATCTATAGCTATCCGTTAGTGGTTATCGTGTTCTTCTACCTTAGCGCCCCCAACCACCGCTAACACTATAAGGAACGCGTGCGCGGGATCTTCCGGGGATATTAAAGGCGTGGGAAACGGTTTAAACCTTATAGTGGTGAACCGTGAAGTGTCTATAGTAATAGCGGTAGCCTCTCCCGTAGTAATAGCGGTGGTATAGTCTTCTCCCGTAGTAATAGTAGTATCTATAGTAATAGCGGTGCCCGTAGTAATAGCGGTGCCCGTAGTAATAGCGGTGCCCGTAGTAATAGCGGTGTTATAGTCTATAGTAATAGTAGTAGCCTTTCCCGTAGCAATAGCAGTAGTGTTAGAGTTACGAGGTTCTAAATCTATAGCCTAGGTATTAGGCTATAGATTTAGAACCTCGTCTATAGTAATAGTAATAGCCTCTCTTATAGTAATAGCGACGGCCTTGCCTTAATCCGTAGTAATAGCGGTAGCGTCGCCTTTACCCGTAGGAATAGCGGTAACGTTAGAGTCTTCCGACTTAAGATCTAATATATCTACGGCTATTAATACGCCCCACGGCGCACTATAAGAACCCCCCCTTACGCGGGTATACTATGAGAACTATAGTCCACGGGGGTATACCGTCAAAACCGCGTTATACGGAGGTATACCGCGGATACTAGGTACCACGGGGGTATACCGTGAGAACCGTGTTCCACGGGGGTATACCGTGAGAACCGTGTTCCACGGGGGTATACCGTAAAACCGGTATACTATAGAAGTACCTAGTAGGAACCAGGTATTACCGGGCTATAGTTAGAAAGCCGGAGTATCCCTGGGGTTCCCCTATAAATATATTAATCCGGGGCTTCGCCCCTTAGTTGGACTAAGATATCTTTATTCTACCCTTATATACTAGAGTAAAGGTCGCCCTTTCAAACCCTAGAAGCCCTGGGTCTAAAAATACTGGCTGGTCAGGGATTTGCCTAGACAGGGCATATCAGCTATGCCTCTTAATAGTAGCCTATTCGCGGTCGTTATATTATTAGATTAGGTAATACGGATCGATTATAGGCATTCTCTAATTTCCTTAGCGGAAGCTATAGCTTATAGCGTTTTAATCTTACTATTAAAGGTCTTATCTTTATTCAAGATTACGTCTCTTATAGTAATAATATCTGTTAGGTATAGTAGCTATATATAGAAGCTATTCAAGGAATAGTATGTAATGTAATAACCGATCTATGCCTTCGGTTCTCGCCTCTATAGGCAGTTCCTTTTAGCTTAGGTATTACGCGTTTTTATAAAGACTTTATAGCCGTATACTTATAAGTGTATAAGGTTAGGTTAACGGCCGTGTAGGCCTTTATATAGCGTTTTCTAATCGTTAATATATTATAGAGTTATGTGTATATATGTTTGTGTGTCTCTATTTAACATCTTGGCAGTGCCTAGTAAATACTAGGACCGCGCCCCCTATTAGAGTATTAGGCGGTGCGGATTCTGTGCATATGTGCCAAGACCATACAGTGCCAAGCGCTTAACTCTATAATCTTTTTCCACTAAAATAAGATAAATTCTACACTATGCTATTAAAATAGTATATAAGATAAAACGTTAGTGAACTAATAAAGGGAATCTTATTATCTCGCTATATACCCTCGGAGGTCTTTATATTGTTCTCTCTAGCACCTATACCCTTAGGTTATAGGTACGCCCCTCCTTAAGGGTAATAGGTATATCTTTTTCAGGAAGCCCGTTATATCGTTAAGGGCGGCGAACGCCGCCCCGTTCGTGAGGATCTCCGTAAGGGTCTTTTCGGTGTTAAATCGGAGGGTCCGATTCCCGTTCCTATTATAGTACTATAGCTCGGGTGGCTATTTACGGGCGTTTCTAATATTACGGCAGTAAGCGAAGTGCTCTCGGGTCTTCTTATAACCGTAGCTATAGTCCGCGATATAATCTTCGTAATAAAATTACCAGTAATATTTATTAAAATCTCTATACCTAGTATATACCTATAGAAGATGCATTAGTATTCTATAAGGTAAGCGGAGTTCTTCGGGCTCCCGCCTACTAAAGCCTAGCCTCTTCTATAGCGTCGTCGAGTAACCGCGGGGACGGTTCTTATTATACCACTTTCGAAGCCTAGTTCTATAGCGTTCTATAGTCTATCCCTTAACGCTCGCCTAGGTCGGCCTTTTATTCACCGGTAATACCCCCTATATATCTTCTATATTATATAGTTCGTCTACCCTCTTATTACCAGGTATTCCTATATATCCCGGTACCTGGCATAGCTAGGCCTTATTAATAAAGGCTAGTCTTTACTTTTGAAGATCTTTCAAGATATCGGACAAGCGGAAGGGACGAAAGTCACGAAAAGCAGTGAAAAAAGAAGAAGGTAATAATAGGATTGTAAGGTAGGATCTCTGCGCGCGTAGTATGTCTTCTTCGGATCGAAAAAGGGATTAAGATAAAGGATCAAGAATAAAGAAGAAAGAAAGGAAAGAACCGAACCGAGGGAACGGGTTCATATCCTTTATTCTTTGTAAAAGGATCGATATTATAATAATATCGTAATTTATTATATCCTTTGTCTGACTCGTATCAGATAAACTGACTCGAAAGAGAACGGTCTAGGCTTACGGGAAAGATATCCTTTGTTCGAGTAC